GCTATTCCACTGGTATTTCAAATACCAGCAGGGTCACCCATGGTGGACAGGTTTCAGCAGAGCTTCCAGACTAAGAAAGAATAGGAAGAAAGGCCTGACAATCTACTTCTGAAATCAACCAATGAAAACATATGGATCACGACAGAACATTGTCCAACTTGCTTGCTTTGGACATGTCATCTGGAGGGATTAATTGCTAGAGGAGGACATCATGTTTGGTGAAGCAGAGGGCCAGAAAGCATGAGGGAGACCCCAGTAGATTGGCACACTCCATTGGCACAATATGATGGGCTCAAACATAACTAGCGATTGTGAGGATGACGCCAAGACTAGGCAATGAGGGCAAATGAGAATAGTGGAAGGGTTTCAAGTAGGCACTGCTTAGATTTGCATTCTAGAAAAATCTCTCTGCAGCTGTGCACAGGGTGGTGGACTGAGGAGTCAACATCAGGAGAAAGAAAATCAGTAAAGAGGCTACCACAACAATCCAGTGAGGAGTGATGGGGACCCAGATGAAGGTGGAGTGGCAATAGGGGGCTTGGGGGAGGGGATGGATTCGAAAGATATTCAGGGACTTCCCTTCAGGTCAGTCTGGATATTGGCGGTAACGGAGACAGAGAAGTGTAGGACGAGTTTTGGTTTGTGGCTTATATATCTGGGAGTCTTCATGGAGATCTAGGAGGAGAAGCAGGTTTTGGAGGACAGATAATAGTTCAGTTTTGCATGTGTCCAGTTTGAGGAACCTGCAGGATGGGTTGTTGTTGTTAGGTGCCGTTGAGTCGGTTCCAACTCATAGCAACCCAATGTACAACAGAACGAAACACCACCTGGTCCTGTGCCATCCTTACAGTCGTTGTTTGAACCCATTGTTGCAGTCACTGTGTCAATCCATCTCGCTGAGGGTTTTCCTCTTTTTCGCTGATCCTCTACTTTACCAAGCATGATGCCTTTCTCCAGGGACTGGTCCCACCTGATAACATGTCCAAAGTATGTGAGACAAAGTCTCACCATCCTTGCTTCTAAGGAACATTCTGGCTGTACTTCTTCCAAGAGAGATTTGTTCATTCTTTTGGCAGTCCATCATATATTCAATACTCTTCCCAAACACGGCAATTCAAAGCCATCAATTCTTCTTTGGTCTTCCTATTCATTGCCCAGCTTTCACATGCATATGAGGCAATTGAAAATACCATGGCTTTGGTCAGGCGCATCTTAGTCTTTAAGGTGACATCTTTGTTTTTTAACACTTTAAGGAGATCTTGAGCAGCAGATTTGCCCAATGCAACGTGTCATTTGATTTCTTGACTGCTATTTCCATGGGCATTGATTGTGGATCCAAGTAAAACGAAATCCTTGATAGCTTCAATCTTTTCTCCATTTATCATGATGTTGCTTATTGGTCCAGTTGTGAGAATTTTTGTTTTCTTTATGTTGAGGTATAATCCATACTGAAGGTTGTAGTCTTTGATCATCATCAGTTAAGTGCTTCAAGTCCTCTTCACCTTCAGCAAGCAAGGTTGTGTCATCTGCATATCACAGGTTGTTAATGAGTCTTCCTTCAATTCTGATGCCATGTTCTTCTTCATATATTCCAGCTTCTCTGATTATTTGCTCAGCATACAGATTGAATTAAGTATGGTGAAAGGATACAGCCCTGATGCACACCTTTCCTGACTTTAAACCATGCAGTATCCCCTTGCTCTGTTTGAAAGACTGTCTCTTAATCTATGAACAAGTTCCTCATGAGCACAATTAAGTATTCTGGAATTACAATTCTTCAAAATACTATCCATAATTTGTTATGATCTACACAGTCGAATGCCTTTGCATATTCAATAAAACACAGGTAAACATCTTTCTGGTGTTTTCTGCTTTCAGCCATGATCCATCTGACATCAGCAATGATATCCCTTGTTCCACATCGTCTTCTGAATCTGGCTTGAATTTCTGGCAGATTCCTGTTGATGTACTGTTGCAATTTGAATGATCTTCAGCAAAATTTTACTCACGTGTGATATTAATGATATTGTTCAATAATTTCTGCATTCGGTTGGATCACCTGTCTTTGGAATAGACATAAATATGGATCTCTTCCAGTCGGTTGGCCAGGTAGCTGTCTTCCAAATTTCTTGGCATAGACATGTAAGCACTTCCAGCGCTGCATCCGTCTGTTGAAACATCTCAATTGGTATTCCGTCAATTCCTGGAGCCTTATTTTTCACCAATGTCTTTAGTGTAGCTTGGGCTTCTTCCTTTAGTACCACTGGTTCTTGATCATATGCTACCTCTTGAAAAGGTTAAATACTGACCAATTCTTTTTGGTACACTGGATAGGTAGATGGGTAGGTAGAAAAAAGGGAGGAAGGCTTGCCCCAATCTGGGTGTTTGGGGATCGGTTTGTGACCCCCTTGGGGAACTTGAGGCATAACTAGGGATAGATTGCTTGGAGCCATCACTTTCTCCTGGGTTGGCCCGGAAAAAACCCAAGGAGACAGCACTCCATCTGAGTTTCTCTGCTTCGGGTGGGGACCTCTGAGAACCTCCCTCCTCTATTCATGCAGTTCCAGGGACAACCAGAAAAACATTCTCTGAACTAAGGATACGCCTGTGTGCTGGAATGGTTATGCTAGCTGTCTTTGTCTGGGGCCAAGTGTCTGAGTCTCAGCTGTGCCAAGTCTTGCAGCCATGCTGTGTATGCCCTGCTCAGTCTATTTCCCCTTCCAGGGGAATCGGGGCCTCTCAAGCCACTGCTCCCAAGAATGGGAGTCAATACCCATTTCCTTCCTTCTTGACCTGACCTCTTTGGGCAATTATGATAAAAGCCTCCCCCACCATAAACTGCTCTGCACTGTTCCTTCACTGTTCATCATGGCTGAGTCGTGTCTTCCCAGCCGGTCCGTAAGTCCTCTAGGGCCACACCTTTGTCACGCCGCAGGGCACAAAGCACAGGGCTGCCACTTGGTGAAGAGAAAGACAGTAAGTTGAGCTTCCTCTAGATTGGTTCAAATGCCATCTCCAAGGTCCCACTAGAACTCCTGGCTCCCTCAGCCTGGGGACACCTCTCCCTGGGAGGCTTCTCCCCCAAGTTGCTGGGCCTAGTGGGGCTATTCTTCCTGAGACTTGTGAGGCCAGGCCCAGGCTGGGCAGGGTCTGCCAGGGCAGGGGGAAGTGGTGTGGACTGGAGGGGAGACTCTGGACCAGATGCTGACCCTTAATCCTCCACCCTGTGCCGCTATCCCTAGGAGTAATCATACAGACTGAAAAAAAAAAAAAAATCAACGAAAAAAATACCTTAAAGAAAAAAAAAAAAACCAAACCCATTGCCGTCTAGTGAATTCCAACTCATAGCAACCCTATAGGGCAGAGTAGAATTGCCCTATGGGATTTCCAAGGCTGTAATCTTTACAGGAGCAGACTGCCACATCTTTCTCCTGCGGAGCAGCTGGTGGGTTCGAACCTCTAACCTTTTGGTTAGCAGAGGAGCGCTTAACCACTGATCTCCTCACCAGGGCCCCTCGTGCAGACACAGCAGCTATCAAATGCACATTTAGAAATGCATGCACACACAGACTCAGAGTCACAGAATTGCTCACATGTGTTTACAAATAACACACACCCATGTACTCCTCCACCCATCTACAACACACACAGCTAAGTTTGAGCCCAGCGCTTAAATTTAAGGGAGAAAAATCCTGGTTCTTCCACTTAAAGCTGGGTGTCCAAAAGTAAGTTACTTAATCTCTTTGTGTCTTAATTTCCTTATCTGTAAAAATGAGGATGATAATGGCATTCACCTCACTGAGTTACTGTGAAGATGAAATGAGATAAAATGGTAAACAGCTTAAAACAGTGGTCAACACATAGGAAATACTCAATAAATATTATCACTTATTATTGTATGTACCTATGCAGAGAGACACACATGCATTCATCCATATTTCCTAGGTCCCCTCCCATACTGCTGCTGTCACTAGGTTATGGGCCTGGCAGGAACACAACGTTGGAGTCCATCCGTCCCTCTGAGCCTCTGTTTTCCCTTCTGTAAAATGGGGAGCTTACCTACCCCTTAAGGCTGTTGGGAGGATCTAAAGAGGCCCAGCATGGAAAGCTCCTAGCCTAGAGCCTGGCCCACAGAAGCCTCCCCACACTTTCGCTGTTGCTGTCTGTATGATGAAGATCAGGTCCAGGAACAGGTGCAGGGACCCCACGGGCCCTCTTCTGCACGGAGGCAATGGCCAGGCAGCCCTCATCCCCATCTCCTCCAGGCTGGAGCTGGGCCCTGTAAGGACAGAACCCAAGGTCACAGGGTGTCAGGCCTGCCCCCTCTTTTGGAGCCCGGTTTGGCGGCAGCCTGGCACGGGCTGGGGGCAGGGCTGGCCGGGTGGCCGTGGGTGGAAGGAACAGAGGAAAGCCGGTGCAGTGGCAATTGCCCTGCGGTTGGCTGAGGCGCCCACGGCTCTGTATTTATAGAGGGCTCCCTGTAGCTCTCAGTTCCTCGCAGTCGAGTTAACCCTTTCCAGGCCGCAGTGTCAGGCAGAACACAAGACTGGGATCAGCCAGCCAATTGGAGCCCTGGCTCTGCCGCCAGCAGCCTGGGTGGTGGCTGGTGGGGTCAATGACCAGTCACTTGTCCCTTCTGGCAGGATATAAACTTCGGATCTTGGAAACACGGGAATGGGTGGAGGGTTGGCAGTTATTAGACCAGCGCCCCCTCCCCGGAGCACCCGGTCTTCCCAGCGTGGGTCTGGATTGGGGCCGGGGGCGGGGTCCAGGCCCGGTGCCCTGCCCAGCGGGCGGGCTTAGGCCTTTGCCCCAAACTGCCGCCGCGGGGCCAATCCGGCCTCTGGGGCGCAGCCCGGCGGTCTTTCCGGGCCCGCGGCTTTCTCCAGCCGCCCCGCCCCTCGGCCTCACGGGCCTCCCGGGGCCCCCGTTCAGATTCGGCCTCTCGGCAGCGGTGGCGACTAACTGCGCTCTGCCGAGTCCCCGAGTCCCGGGAGTCGGCGCGGCGCGGCGCGGTGAGTGCTCGCGTGGCGCGGCCGGCAGCGGGGTGGGGACTGCCTTTGTCTGCGGCCGTGCCCGGCCGGGGGCGGCGGAAGCCTGGGCCGGCGCTTCTGCTACAGGGTTGTTATGGCCCGGAGCGATGCGCCCCCTCCCTCGCAGGGGAACCCACACTCCAGCCCTCTGTCCTGGGCCCGGGCTGGCCTTCGCACGCGAGCACGGTGAGCCCCCGGGGCCGAATCTCTGGCTCTAGGGCCCAGAGGGAGCTGGGGCAGCCAGGATCCTACCCAGCCCCAGCCAAGCCTCCTTTTCCCTCCAGAAGAGAGGGAGCTGGGGCACAGTCGGACCTGCCGGCACCGGGGAAGCAGCTGGAGGAGGCTGGGTGGGTAACTGGAATTACGGAGGCTCCGGGTGTGGCGGGGGAACCGAGTCAGATCTGTCACCGTGTCTGATGATTCTGAAAAGCTTAACGAAGCCGCTTGCTGGGGCCAGGAGGGAAGCAGAGCCTCCAGAGCCCTGCGGAGGGAAACACCCAGATGTTAATAGACCACCGGCCAATGGGGGCAGGAGCCAACTGGTTAGGGGCAGGGGGCTCACTCAGCTTGGCCCTGGCGGGGACGATTGAGGGGGTTCCACAGACAGAAGTGGGCACGGAGGAGACCGATTCTGAGAAGGATGAATAGGGACAGCTGGCCAGAGAGGAGGGGGTGTAGGTGTTGATGGGGGCAGGTAGAGGCCGAGGCAGATCGGGGGGTTGGAGGAAGCAGGGATGGGACAGTTTTGGCTGGGGAAGTCTCAAGGAGAATGGTGGATGGCGTAAGGTGGGGCAGGTGGGGAGCACTGCTGAAGGAGAAGGTAGGACTACTCTTGTAGGGAAAGTAGGGTGGGGTCATATTAGAGAGGAGGAGACTGGATCCAGCGCCCCAGGGCCCTCAGTTGCTGCTGCTGAGCTGCCGCCAGTAACCTGCCAGAAAAGGGAATTTATTTCTAACCAAAAACTTGCTCTAATGAGAAATGCGTGATGGATGACTCATATATGGGATCTATCTATCCTTGAGGGGGAAGGTCAAGCAAATGGCAAAGCAAAGAAGATCGTGGGGTGGGGGGTGGGGGTGGGAGGTTGTTGTTTGACTCAATTGAGAAAAGCTATTTACCTTCAAATTGGATGTGGATAATTGTAAACGAATCTTATTTCTTCATTAAATTAAAGGCCCCACCCAGGTCTTTTTCTTATAAGCCTGTCTTTAGCAGTGAGTTTCTGTATTAGAAAGTAATGAAGCTGTTTTTGTCTTTAAGAGAGTTCCTTATTTAGTTCAGCCTGTCTCTAATTCCCTCTGGCCGCCCAGAATTCCCTAGGATATCTAATGCAGGAAGCCTTCCTTGTAGTGTAGGGGCCTGCAAATAGGTGGGGCACTTTTGGAGGCCAGGGAAATTGAAGTCTAAACTTGAAATTGAAGTCTAAACATGTCAGTCTGGGTTGGGCTGATCTGAGTGCCAGGGAGGTGGTGGAGGGCTATGGGCTGTGGGGTATGAAGTGGTGGTTCATATTTCCAGCTTGCTTTAGGCAGGAGAGTATTTTGGGTGAGTACATTTTCCTGATATCTGGAGTTCCCCAGCTCAAGTGCTAACACTTTTTATGTTACCGGTTGCGCATGGAAACCTTTCTCCCCAATATTGTATACATCCCACTCTACTTAAATTGAGTGTCCTGATGTCAATGAAATTTTTCTTCCTGACTTTTTGGATTAGCACTGTGAACATCAGTTTTTGCAATAAGGGGTCATATGGCAAGCCGTCAACTGCTGACTGAAAAGTTGGCAGTTTGGAACCACCAGCGGCTCCAAGGGAGAAAGATGTGGCACTCTGCTTCCGTAGAGATTTACAGCCTTGGAAACCCTATGCGGTTGCTCTGAGTCAGAATTGACTCGGTGGCAGTGGATGGCGCAGGACCTCTTGAGGGAGTAAGCTTTTGTCCCTGCACTAAGCAGCCTCAGCAATGCTTGTACCGATCCCGCGATTGAACTTTGGAGGTCTTCTGTCTTCTTAATGACATTGGTGTCCCTGGGTGTTGCAGATGGCAACCGGCTGCTAAACAAAAGGTTGGAGGTTAGAGTGTACCCAGAGGTGCCTTAGAAGAAAGGCCTGGCAATCTACTTCTGAAAAATCAGCCATTGAAAACCCTATGGAGCATAGTTCTACTCGGACACACATGGGGTTGCTATGAGTCAGAACTGACTTGAGGGCCAGAATGAAAAGGTCATCACTCATGATTCTCCTGCCTGCCTCTAGTAAGCTTTCTAATGACTGTGCTGCCTTTAGACTCCTGTACTGGAGAAATCAGCCCATCCTGCTTGTTAGAGGTAAGAAGCCTGTGTTAACACAAGCCTAAGGATGAAAAGGTGTTGGGATTTGAGGGCCCGGTTTTCCTTCCTGCCCCTGGCCCTCTTACAACTGTGCCCAGGTACCCCACAGAAGCAGGTTAGCTGAATATCTGAGATGCTCAGATGCCCACAGCTAGGTTGGGGCACTTTTGTATTTACGAAAAGGACAGTTATAGAAGTGCTGTTCCTTCAAAGTAGTCCTCTGGGGAGGCTGTGTCCTTATTCTGGTGAGGTGGACTTCTGAACATTTCTGTGGGAATTCCCCATCCTCCAACTTTGGCCTTCTCTGGAGTAGTCCATCTTCATTCTTTGGAGTAGGATTTGGGTTTGACACTGAGTTGGGCAATACTGTTCCAGGTCAGAGTTGCAGCGTGGTCACAGAAACTAGAGCTGGGATTTCCCAGTGCCCAAAGAGACACCTGGGAAGTGTTGTAGAACAAGTGTCTGGCCTGTTGCCGGCTGGTTCTTGGTTGGACATAAGGGCTTTGGGATGTGTGCAGAGAAATGGCCGAAATCAAAGGACCCTCTGAGATTATGATCATACAGGGGCTGCTGAGCTGTGGACCTGAGTCATGGGGTCAAGGGAGAGGAAGAAGGGCTGGGAGAATGATGTCACTGTCCATGAGCTTAGCCTCTCAGTGGGTGGCTTTCATTGCTGTCGTTTTCCCACATCCCCAGGGCGGGAGTGGCAGGGAGGGCCACCAGCAAAGTTAAACATAGAATTACCATGATGTTGTTGTTGTTGTTAAGGAACCCTGGTGGCGCAGTGGTTAAGTGCTCAGCTGCTAACAGAAAGGTCAGTGGTTTGAACCCACCAGCCTCTCCAGAGGAGAAAGATGTGGCAGTCGGCTTCTTTAAAGACTTACATACAGTCTAGGAAACCCTATGGGGCAGTTCTGTTCTGCCCTATAGGGTCCCTATGAGTTAGAATCGACTCAATAGCAATGGGCTTGGTTATGGATTATTTTCTTGACACAGAACAAGAGAGCAGCTGGGAGAGGGCCACATGTGCTGTACACAGCCCTCCCTCGCCACCCCCCAGTCCTGCAGCTTCTGCAGTGTGAGGTTCCAGAGGGGAGCATTGGGTTTGCAGGTTATGGCAGTGGGGCTGTGCTGGATACTTACCAGACATCATCTCATTTAAGCATCATAGCAGTCCTATGAGGCAGGGTATCACTAGCATCATTGTACAAAACTAAAATAAAATAAACGGTTGCCTTCGAGTTGATTTTGACTCATGGCAACCCCATGTGCATTAGCACAGAACTGTGCTCCATAGGGTTTTCAAGGGCTGGTTTTTTGGAAGTAGATCACCAGGCTTTTCTTCCAAGGCTTTTCTAGGTAGATTTAAACCTTCAACCTTTTGGTTAGCAGCCAAGTGGTTTAACCATTTGCACCACCCAATGACTCCAACTGAGGCCCAGAAAGGGCGAGCAACAAGCCCAAAGATACACAGCTGGCAAGCAGTGCAGCTGGGAGGCAAGTCCAGGGTAGTCTGCCTCCAGAGCTGGCTCTTTCTGCCACTCTGGAGTTAGGCACAGGCTTCACCCCTCATTCTGGAGCCTGGTGATATGATCCAAAGATTCCCCCAGGGAGGCAGAGAGGACTCATCTGAGGGCCTGGGAGAGGGCAGGCCTGACTGGGGTGACCAGCTGGGACCATTGCTGAGAGTTCTGGCAACACTGGTGCCTCCAGCAGCTCCTCCTACACCCTCCAGTTCTGACCAGTGCTCTCAGCTAGCTGTCCCCCTTCTTCTCAGTCTCTCTGCGGTCCAGTGAATGGATGCCTCCGCCACACCCTTACTGCCTTTGGGCGTGTGGTCTTCCACTCAAACAGAGAGAGTGTGTTGGAGGGAAGCCCTCTGGGAGTGGAGAATGGAAACATTTTTGGTTGGGGAACCATAGAGCAGGGAGAAATACTATGTCTGGGAAGCAGGGTCTCCAGATCACCCTTCAAGTCAACCTAGCTCCTGGAAACTGGGACTCCCCCAGGGGAGGCACTGGAATGTGTGCTGGGTGGAGGCCCTGTACTGAAGGGTGTGGCAACAATAGGGACAGTAGGAGCTGGAGCCCACAATGCTTGGTGCTGGGGCCTGGCTTCTGGAAGGGAAGAAGGGGAGAGGACCATAGGAATGGGCTAGACACAGAGATGGAGTCCTGTGTTTGCTGCTTGGAGCTGGTGTGGAGATGGGGGTGGTTTGTGGAGATGGGATGATAGGTGAGAAGGGGGACATAGACCGAGTAATGGTCCCAGGGACCTAGATGTACACTCCAACAGAGGAGGTCTTGGCTGGGGGTGGCGAGGGGGGAGGTTCCAATGCAGAGGGTGCCAGTGGGCCCGTCCCCATGCCTATGGCAATAATAACAGCAGTAGTAACAATTACGACCACTGTTTTGGTGTGAGGCGCTTTCCTAAATCCTCTAGGTAGATTCCTATTCTCATAGCAGCCCTGTAGGGGAGGGATGGTTATCTCTGTGTTAGAGATGCGGGATTGAGTCTCAGAGAAGCCGAGTCATTTACTACTGGTCAGGCATGCCCACAAGGCTGCATGAGGATTCCATTTGATTGGTGAGAAATCCAGCCCGGGGACATTCGTGAGCTGCCTCTTAGTCACCTCTGAAGATGACTGAG